AAAAACCTTTAATCTGTTTTTGTTGTTAGATAGTGCTGAAAAATTTAGGGGTTGTATTCAATTTGAACTTTTGAAGATTTTAATAGATTTTTTTTAAGTAATGACTTCTGTGAATTTCTTGGATTTTTTTATAAATTAGTATGAAACTAGTGGAAATTTTTCATAGACATTTATAAAATTTCATTTTAGAATTTTTGTAGACTTTTGTAAAATAAAAAATAAAAAAAAAACTTTTGAAGATTTTCATTTAAAGTAAAATTCACACGAGTCTAGTGCAATATTTTGAAATTCTCACATACGAAGTGGTGATTTCCGCAATTCTCCTTCTACACCCCATATAATTAAAAAAATATTTTAAAAAGAATAAAAATTTAAAACCTTAATTAAATAAATAAAAATAAAAATTATACGTATATATGATAAAAAAGAATTTAATATTCAATATTATCAATATAATAAACCTTAAAAAATAGAAATCAATATATTTAAATTTATTTATAAATTAGTCTATATAAACTTTTATAATTTAATTAAAAATGGATATTTAAAAAGATGAATGGAAAAAAAAAAGATTAAGTTATAAGAATCCAATTTAATTTTTTCATAGAAAATAGAGATAAATAATAAAAGAAATAAATATAATAAATAGAAAAAATAAATTTTAATCATAACTCTAATGTTCGTAGAAGGTAAAAGAAAAGAGAAATATTGAAAAAAATACATATTAATTTAATCTCTTCTCTCTCTCTCTCTCTCTCTCTTTTTTTATTAAGTCTCCCAAAATCTTGTGATTAACGAGGGACAAATTTTGAGATTTTATTTTAGTACTTTCAATTTAAAAGTTAGTATACTAGATACTTTTATAAAAGTCAGTATACTAGATACTTTTATAAAAGTCAGTATACTAGATACTTTTATAAAAGTCAGTATACTAGATACTTTTATAAAAGTCAGTATACTAGATACTTTTATAAAAGTCAGTATACTAGATACTTTTATAAAAGTCAGTATACTAGATACTTTTATAAAAGTCAGTATACTAGATACTTTTATAAAAGTCATTAAAATTTGAATACCTAAAACTTATAAAAACTTCTAAATTTTTTTAATTGAATGCACCGTGACTTTGATATACTTTTTAAAAATCTACAAAAGTCTCAGTAAATTACACCGATATTTTTAGAGGTCTCAAAAAACTCCTAAACTTAAATCCTAAAAAGTCATTAAAAGTTTCAATTAAATATACTCCCTTAAATAAACATGGGTTTTACGAATTGATCACAAGTCAAAAATAGATTTTTGAGGTCTATCATAAAGAAAAATATTTTCAACCCAATAAAAATTTCCGGCAATATCTAAAAAAAAAGGAAAAACCCACAAAGAAAGATTAAACAAATTGATTAACTCATTTACTTGTGGTATTACAGTAGCAGAAGACTCCCAAAAAAAAATAGAAGTTATGTTTATGGTGGAACAATAATTTATTTTATTAAGAAGTATATTAAAATCGTAATTATATAATTTTACTTAATTCTATTTAAGTGAAAAAGAAAAATACTAAAAATTGTGGTTCCTTAAATAAATTTTGTAGCGGTAATATAATTACTCATTCCCTATTTTCATCGAGTTCAAGGAGATTATATCCATTTTAATTGTCAATTTTTATCATAAATTATACTATTAGTCCTAAACTTCTTGTTCCCATAACAAGTTGATCTTCAATCTTTGGGCAAATAGATGTGAAACTTATATTATAATTCTTGATATGAATGGATTAAGTCTCAAGAAGATCGCATCCATTTTGATTGTCAATTAATTCTAGACTTATTATACTTTTTGTCCCTATCTTATAACCTTTTTAAAGCCAAAAAAAATAAAAATAAAATAATAATAATAAGAGCGACTCTGGATTAACCATTTATTGTACTCACATACAATAAATGATTGACAGTGGAAAACTTTTAAATATCTATTAGATATCCTCAAATATTCAACTTTGTGAAGTAAGTTGAGTTCTTAACTTGAACTTCTATTTGATAATTTAAAGTATGAAATATGTTTAGAATTGGATCGTATCATCAATTTAACGAAGACTTGGGTTTTCACTCGTTAACGTACTATAAAAAATAATAAATATTTAGTATCATATTTATATTTATTTTTTAATATTTGTTGCTTATTTAAAAATACAATGTACAAATAATTCCCGAAAAAACATGTATCCAAAAAACATACAATTTACTTCCAAGTTCCAACTAATGTATGAATTCACGTATAATTGAAATTTGAATTCAACATGCTAGCGTCGGATTCAGATGGGTTCATGTGGAGCCACCAACTCCACAATTTTTATTTATTTTTACGTTTTCTCAATGTGTGGCTATCTGCCTTCAACAGCATGAACAAACTCTCTGTATTTGCTTTCGAGCTCAACAGAGAGGAGCGATGCCTCAAAACCATGGAAATTAGGGTTTCAATCCATGAAAACAATTGTAACATAATTTTAACTCCAAAAATAAAAAATAAAATGTCTGATTCCACTAATGTGACACGCATTTAATTGTAATATCAACTTGTTTCATTTGCAAATTAGAGTGTTAAAGCACTTCCTCTTAAATTTGTATATCTTGTTCTAAGACTTATTTTGCTATCATATAGCAAGTTTAAATATAAAATTCACCAAAAAATTGTCGAGAATTCTTTTTAGTGGCTAAAATTATATCTAACCATGTCTTAAGTTTTCCTTCTCATAAACCAACTCATACATGTATTTAAAAATTAGGTATTTAATATTAAAAAATAACCAGTTTAAATCTATTATTAATATTTCAAATTATATTCACAGATCCCAATATCTAGGGTAAATTTATCTAAAATTTAATTTTTAAAATTCAAATTCCTTTAATTTCTATTAATCAGACATAAAAAAAAAAAAGAAAAAAAGGTTAAACCCACCTTAAGGGTCCCTCACCACCTCTGCCATGGAGTATCGTGAGGGAGGTAAATCGCAGATTATGCCTCCAAGGGTATAAGGTGGAAGGCTGCTTGTACACTTGCACTTACCCAAGAGCCAAATCCATATTTCAGGATTCGAACCCTTGACGCAACAGCCTCAAGTAAAGTTGGATTTCTCCACCCTTCCCTTTTACCACTTGGAGATGTGCCCTGGGGCACTATTAATCAGACATAGTTACTGTATCGTGTAGAGAGAGAGAACGTTCTTCCCGGTTAGAATTTATCTCACTTTGTTGGGTCACACGCATTATAAATTTTGCCTACCTACATTGACCCACTTAATTTATTGTGCATATATATAAATTAGTTTGCATTTATATTCATCTCACAATTTTACATCTCAATCATGAAGTAATAAATGTCACATTTTTTGTCTCTCTAGTCACGTTTGAACCGTTGTCAAAAAAATATGTACGTCAAAATCGTATTAGATGTCACAATGGGCATGTAATTTCACTAGTCTCATGGACTGTCGTAATATGTCACGTTCTATCCTTGTATATTCACCAATTTCGATCAAACTCATTATTATTATGATTACGAGGATGACTTGATTTCTATAATTTTTTTGGGAATTTGATTGTTTGAAAATGTGTACTTAAATTTATGTTAGGTACGAATTTTCGGATTATTCTGCAGGATCGATGATTACCTTCTCCAATTTTCTAAAATAAGAAGAAAATTTGTTCACCTTTGATCCCAAAACAATTAGGTTATTCCAAACGTGACTCTTATTTATTTATTTATTATTTTTTTTTTTTTACTTGCAAACAAATTTATATATGTAGGTTTGCGTGCATCTAAAGCCTAATTACGTGCGTTATGTTCGAGGCGTATTAACTAAGCTTACAACTCGAAATAAATTACTTTGAAGTAATTTTTTTCTTAAAATAAACTACTTTTAATAACTTTTATGTTGAAAAGTCAAGTTTAGGTTAAATAAGTAATTTGTTTTCAATTTTAACTAATAAAAATTAAACATTTAAGCTTGGCCAAACTTGTATTTACGAATTACTCCACCGACAAAATAAGAACTTAACAATTTTGAAATTTCCAATTTTTATAATTTTGTGTTTTCCGTGAAGTAAACAATGAAGCTAATTAACTATTTTCGAAGGAAAAATGCACTTAATCTCTAATTAATAATGCTAAAATACACCTAGAGCATTCTCAAAGTCATCTTCGAAAAACATGACTTGAGAAAAGATTATTCGCACTTGAGAGGTGTTGTATAGTATTTAACGAAGCATAAAAAGTTACAATTAATTGTTTTGTTCTTGAAAATGTTTAACAAAACGTTTGGATGGTGTGTAATTAAATGACGTACCAAAAATATTTAACTTTTAATATTTTCGCTCTTTTTTATAACTAAATTTTGGCGTACTTATATCAGAGTTTAATTATTAGACACTAACAAATGACAAGTCATATCGAAAAATGACAATATATCTTTTAAAATTATTCCAAAGAATATCAATTTATCCAATATTAAACTAGCGATGTTCAAATGAACAATCAATCCTATGCTGTGTAGCTGTGCTTGAAAAGTTCGAACTGCAAGTCAACCTAATTAGAGAGGCCAACCATTTAATAATAATCCTCCAAGAAAATCTTTCGAAAACACAAAAAAAAGTTAGAAAAGAACATTAAACCCGTTCAACTTAATTTTGTCCTGATGAGTAGTCCAAATCTCATCATTTTTTATAAAGTCGAGTCAAGATCAGCAGCTCGATCCTGTTCATTTGACATCTTGCTAGGCTGCTTACCTACACAAAGAAACTAAATGCAAAATTCAGCTCATTTTTGTGCCTAAAGATCTATAATTCCATCTGTGGTTCCAAGAAGCTGAACTAAACAAGATTTACCTAATTACTCGCAATTATTACATCTAATTCACTAAAAATACAAATCTCCTTTTTTGACTTTTACCACTTTCACATTTATTTATTTATTTCCAAATACAAAAAGCAGAGACATATATGACAACATAATTTTTATAATATCAAGTTGCAACCTTTTTTGTTTTTCCTCTTTACCTTTCTAGGAACCATCGGTTTTTCTTCGATTTGTTGATCCGCTTTTGTTTTAAAATAGTCTGTCAATTGATCTCTGTTCTTGAGCTAATTTAGGTCACTGATGAGTTGCTCTTGACTGAAAAACTTCCTCCCAAAGGAAATTCCAAGTTTGGATTTTTATGAGATGGGCTGTTGTCTAAAGCTGAAAAAAGGAAATTTTTGATGGTGAAAATTATATACATGAATTTATAAATACATATATACCGATATACATATAATTTTGGGGTGGGTTTATTGTTTTGATTTGATATGGGTGGATGTTTTCCATGCTTTCGATCATCGAAAACTGAAGGAAATAATAGTGATAATGGGGTGAAACAAGTGGTGAAAAAGGAGTCTTTTAAAGAAGGTTCAGCAGCTCAAGCTCATGGGAATAGAGTGAATTCAGGTGAATAATTTCAAGATTTTTTTTCCTTTTAATTTTAGGAAATATTTTCATTTTCATTTTGGATTATTTTGTTGCTTTCTTGTTTCTTTTATAAATCTGATCCGTGGTTCTTTTATCTATTTTTAATGGTTTTAAGTGATTTTGAGATTTTATAGATTTATAATGTTAAATAATAAATTAAATTCCTTGTTTTGTGTACTTACTTCTTTATTTTAGCTTGATTTCTAATGAAAGAGAAGCAGTGGAATTTCTTGTTTTGAGGGTAGGTGTGGTTTGGGGGATGGGGTTTGGGAATTTGCCTGGTCCTGCAAATTTTTTTGTACAATTGTTATTTACTTGCTTTGAATTTTAATAGAATACTACGAAACGAAATGGTATTGATAATTTCCTGTTGGAAGAACTTGAACTTTTTCCATCCACAAGTCGAAAAGTAGTGGAGATGACTTATTATTAGTTAGCATGCTGAAAATATGAATGTTCAATTCTGCATTTGTGTAATTGTATTGTTTAGGCTCATACTGCTCTTGGAAATTACATTAGGTCTTCAAGTAGATATAGCAAAATGAAATGGAGTTATGAAAAACAATTTAAGTAGTAGACCCCAAATTTATTTAGAATAAGGGTTATTTCTTGCTTGTTGATTCTGCATTTGCAAGTGAAGAAGATATCATAGAGAAGTGGGCATGTCATGCTTTGATTTTTATGTTATGTTTGAGGTATGATTGAGAAAATAAAACAACAATAAAAGTTTACAACTAGATATTGTTGCCTCATATGGTTTGAGTTGCAGAATCATTTCAAATTACTTTTCCAAGTTATATTGGCCCGACTCGGGTCTTGTGTGGATATCCAGGAGGGGATGCTCCTAGGTTTTTTAGGGATTTTGTTTGTCCACGAGAATGGATTCCTTTTCAAGTTTATTGTTCTTCAACAGTTTCATGTTCACTGATTTTTTTATTTCGTTATAGATTCCATCCTCTTAACCCTACAGCATTTTCTCTACATTTTCCAGATAAATCAAAATCTCGTAGTAGCAATGATTCTAAGAAGGAAGCAACAATTCCGAAAGAACCAACACCAAATATTGCTGCACAAACATTTACATTTCGTGAACTTGCGACTGCTACAAAAAACTTTAGGTCAGAGTGCTTGCTGGGTGAAGGTGGGTTCGGCCGAGTTTACAAAGGCCGGTTAGAAAGCACTGGACAGGTAAATTATCCTAAAGCACATCGTAAAGTAGCAGGATGATTTTCATTAATGCTACATGTTTGGCTTTATGTCTGTATGAGGGAAGAAGAGGATAAGAAAACATTGTTGGTCACCCAACTTGAAGAGAATTTAATTTCAATTGGCTCGTTAAAGTTACATTTTTGTTTCAGTCGTCATGTTGGATTCCTTTTGTATAAATAACAGAAATGCTTAAATGGATAAGGGTAGTCTGACGTGGCAATTTAAACTAGGGTAACTGGATAAGAGAAAAGGGAAAAACTGAAAAAGAAAACAAAAAAGAGAATGTATACCATTGTCCTTGCCAAAGTTGTGCTTTTCTTTTTTAGCCCCCGTTTGTTTCTCATTTTTCGAAGAATGAAAATGAAAAATATAGCCGTTACGGGTCCACACAAGAGATAGAAATTCAAATTTAGTGGCTTGATGTGATGGATAACGATCATATTTTTCATTTTAATGGAGAAAGAATGGGAAACAAACAGGGCTTTAATAAATCTAAATGTTTTAGCTCTAAGTTGTGTTTTCCTTTAAAACCGCACTTTGAATTGTGGACTTTTATCACTTCAAACTTCAAACATTCTTTAGTTTATGTGGCGTGGCAGTTGCCAACATTACACTTCAATGGTTAAAAATTGCCTCATTAGACGTACCATTAACCACATTGCCATTTTCGTTAACTATATAAATGGAAATGAACATGATGACCTAACTGAAACAACAATGTAGTTTAAGTGAGCGGAATGAAATAAAAAATTAAGTTGGATGACCAACATGAAACTTTGAAAAAAAAGTTGACTGGCCAACAGTGGTTTTTACCTGGGAAGTAACTGCTGCACCTCTTCTTTTATTCTATTTGACAAATGTCAAGTTTCTTGGAATTATCAATGACCAAGTTGTATCTTCACTTTCCTAACTTCTAGTTGGGTAATATATGCAGGTTGTTGCGGTTAAACAGCTTGACCGGAATGGCCTTCAGGGGAACCGGGAATTTTTGGTGGAGGTTCTGATGCTTAGCCTCTTACATCATCAAAATCTCGTCAACTTGATAGGATATTGTGCTGATGGGGACCAACGGCTTCTTGTTTATGAATACATGCCATTGGGATCTCTAGAAGATCATTTACATGGTCAGTTCTGGCACATAAATTATCCATCTAAATTTTACACTAGAATTTTCTTTGAGAATATGAAGTTGATATGTCTCACTCTCGCCAGTTGATTATGAGTTTAACAAAACTGGTTTAAATGAAGCTTGAAGTAGTTAGTGAAGACTTCTTTAATATTTTATGTGCAGAATGCTCGATAAACATCTTGAAAACATTAGGTTTTGAACATACGAGCCATAGTTGATCTTAGTTAGAAGAATGCTGAGTATGTATTAAGATAAATCTGATTCTGCAACACATGGTTTGGAGCAAATATGCGTACTTTAATGTAGTGTGCTCGTTATCTCTCAATAATTATAAATGCTCACTGTCACGGATATGTTCATGCATGTCTAACTTTGGATGCACTTATGAGCTGATTGTGGGGTCCTGGTTGTCTGCAGCTTTCAATCTATATGGGCCATTGGATATAAAATATTAAATTCCTTATGAAAGAAATACACTCTCTTTGAACGTATAAACATATTTCTCTTACTATAGTTTCCTGGCATTTGAAGGACAGCAGGGGTTCTCTTTTTTAACATTCAAGTGTGGCATGTTCAGTAAGGTTGATGCGAGTATTGGACATTATTAAGGAAAAAAAAAAAGAAATTTCAATCTTATTTATTTTACTATCCAATCATGTCCATTACTACCCGAGCTTTTGCATTAAGTGTGTCATATGAGAAGCTAATCATAATCTAATTTTCCGTCTTAAGTGATGCCTTTTCAGAATAATTGAGAAAAAGCCTTAATGATCTCTCCTTGCACCCATTACTTGCTACATCTCATTACTAGTAAAGCTATTTATGAATATCCAGGATGTACATTTTTCTTTCCCATGTACTTTAGATCTGCGCCATATTTTTTCCTTCAGGGCATAATACAGTGATTACCTCTCCTAGGGTATGAATATGAACATGGAAAACATAGTTATAAAGCTGCCAAATATTAAGGTCTTTTACTTTTAAAGTAAACCACTTCTATTATAGGAGTTTTTAAACTCATATGCAATAGTGTAGAAGGAGGATTTGGTATTGTCCCCTACCTGTTTATTAATATAGAAATGAAGTACGTGGAGGGGGACTTTGGGCCTTACCTCCTAACCAGGAGGTAAAAAAATGAACTTGTGAAATTTAAACAAGAGAGTACTTTTCCCTTTACATATTTGGAGCCTATTCTTAGCCCCGTTTGGCCCCCATTGAAATTTTAATACATTTTTCTCTCTCTTCTTTTCAACTATACATTCTCCAATAAAATAATATTACATTTAAATCGTTAACTTTTCTTTTTCAACTATTCATTCTTCAAAAAAACACTTTTCCAAAAATTATAATCTCATTTAATGGGCGCCAAATGGGAGCTTAGCTTACCTACGTTTTATTCTTTGCTAGCTTACATTAGTGGAGCCTATTCTAATCGTGTAAATATTCTGCTTACTGAACTGAAAAGCCCTTAATTTGGGCTCTCTGTTTAGGGATTCTTATATATTGACCCCCTTAATTTCTGTCAACATTCTCGTAATGTCTTCCAGTAAGTACACTGCTTCCCATGGCCCTAGTTGCTTGGCCCTTATAATGTGGGTTTGAATTAATGAATCCACTTTCACTTCTAGCCTCTCTGTGTTTCTGCTTGCACATGCTCAATCCCTTATGGATTGCCTTTATCTCTGCCATGAAGCTATTACAATTTCCTTAATGTTCATGGAATGCAAAGACCAATCGACCCTTATTATCTCTCTCCCTGTGTAAGCAATTTGATCATACATTTTACCCTCCAAATGATCTTTTCCTGCTGTCATGGAGATATGCCTGTGTTTGACATCATTTCTTTCTATCCATATAAACCATAACGCAAGGATTGGTATTATTATTCTCATGTATCCCTTCCCCACGAAACTGGCCTGAATACCTCCAGGTTTGAAATGCCAATCTGATGCATTGCTTGGGCATGTTTGCTATCTTATATAACATCGATGCTCTATATAAAGGACTTGGTGTTATAGTGATGATAATTGATATGAATTTGTTAGCATGTTTAATCTTACATCACATCGAGTCTCTATAGAAAGGACTCGTTCTCATAGTGATGATATAGATTTAAGCCTTCAAAATGATATTCAGGTAGTATAAAATTGCAGGAAACTAAGAAATATGGGTGAATAGTTAAATAATTAAAATTTAAACTGCAGTTTGATGTTCTATATTAGATCATACTAGACAGTAATAACAGTATCTGTTGCTTCCTTTCTTATTTAATATCCATCCCACCTTATCAAGCATGTCATAAGAAAGACAGAGGCATGGGATAATGGAGGAGAAAAATAATGCTGATAGCAATGTGAGCAGTCCTTGATGGAAATGAGATGTCCTAGGTTGATATTGTATCTAAAGCTTTGTGAAAATGATTGTTCCTCATGGTTATAATTGATATTTGAATTGTCATAATGTGATTATTATTGAGAATTCATTGATTTTTATCCTTCTTGTCGTGAACATGTTAACTTTATCATATCTTAATCTGCTTGAATTATGTGAGGCCACAAGGTTTTTCTATTATTTTCTTAGAAAGGATGCATTAAAGGCTCAGATTAACTTGCAGTCCAATTTTCATTGCAATTTATTCATGGAGAAAAGGGTATTATAACAATCTCTGACAAACATTTGCTTTTCATTACTAATGTTTGTTCTTCATTTAATGGCTTCGGCCTTTTTTATAGTCATTGGTATCTGAATTGTGTAGTACATTAACTTTTGTGCTAGATATTCTATCGATGATTTAATCAAGCGCTGGTTAGCAGATTAACCGTTGCTCCTGTGATATGATTTTCATTATGGGAAGAAATTTTTTTCACTCATTTTCATTCATTGATTAATTTTAAACCCTTTACCTGTGTGCTTGTACTTGGGTGAACAACTTTCTGGCCCTGATTACATCCTTTCTTGTTGAAGCTTGGATATTAATTCAAGAATGCACACTCTTCTGTATAAGCGCACGTATAAACTGATAAGTTGTTGAATGCTTCATGGTTGCTCTTTTTTAGCTGTATAGCTGGATCGTCAATAATTAATGAATTTGTGGTTGCACAAAGATCTAATCGAACTCTGACTTGTTATTCTGAGATCCAAGTTGCCCTAACAACCTTCCTTCAAACAGCACATAAGAATAACCATAACCATAGTGGGCCGGTTTTTGTTCTTGTGCTACTGACAGCAGAGTTATTTACATGCAGATCTTCCACAGGATAAAGAACCGTTGGACTGGAATACGAGGATGAAGATTGCAGCCGGTGCAGCTAAGGGACTGGAGTATTTACATGATAAAGCCAACCCTCCAGTCATATACCGAGACTTAAAATCGTCCAATATCTTGCTCGATGAGGGATATTTCCCCAAGTTATCAGATTTTGGGCTCGCAAAACTGGGTCCAGTTGGCGATAAAACTCATGTTTCAACCCGGGTTATGGGGACCTATGGTTATTGTGCCCCGGAATACGCTATGACAGGTCAGCTCACTCTAAAATCCGATGTTTATAGTTTTGGAGTTGTCTTCCTCGAACTCATCACAGGTCGCAAGGCTATTGATAACAATCGTCCTCCCGGGGAGCAAAACCTTGTTGCATGGGTACGTGGTGCTCTTTTTAAGGTTAAATTTGTTTTTCCTTAGCAATCCGTAAAAATTATTTGCTTGCAGGCAAGGCCTCTTTTCAAGGATCGAAGGAAGTTTCCGAAAATGGCTGATCCTCTGTTACAAGGCTGTTATCCAATGCGCGGACTATATCAAGCACTTGCGGTGGCGGCCATGTGCTTGCAAGAACAAGCAGCCACAAGACCTTTAATTGGGGATGTTGTTACTGCCTTGACATATTTAGCATCCCAAACTTACGACCCAAGTACACCTACTTCCCATAGTAACAGAGTTGGTCCTTCGACTCTAAGGCATAGAGATGACCGGAGGAACACATCTGATAGAATGGATGGCTTGGACGAGCCAGGTCGTGGGGGCCAAAACGGTTCCCCTTCCACCAACAAGAACTCTCCTGATATCAGAAAAAGAGATTCTTTCCCGGAATTCAACGCAGGTGCAGAGTTGCGAAGAATTGAAACTGGTTGTGGATCCGGGCGGAAATGGGGATTAGACGACACTGAGCATCCCGATTCCCGAAAAGACAGCCCTGTCAATGTTGGTAGAGCTAGAGAAACAACAAGAAACCGTGATCTAGACAGGGAACGAGCAGTTGCCGAGGCTAAAGTATGGGGTGAGAATTGGCGAGAGAGGAAGCGAGGAAATGCAGCAGGAAGTTTTGATGCTACTAATGATTCATTGCGCTAAAGCCTTGATATGTCATCTATATACTAGGATAGCCATTGTATCTTCTGAGGGTCGTCAAGGGACAACGGAAATGCATTATCTTGTACTGTACAGTTTCTGGTTCTGATTTGTTCGAGGGAGGAAGGCTTGAATCAATGTCGATGCTGTCTATCATCCTGAATTCGGTTTAGATGGAATGCTTCAGCCAAAGGATTTTCACTTGGGAAGAGGATTAATGTTGTATGCAATGTATGTATTTAAGGAGATTTTCGGGAAGATGTCTGAATTATGCTCCATATGTTATTTTAGTGGGTTTTGTTCGAATGTTTTCAAGTTCAATTGATCCATGTTACAATTGTTGTAAAGCTCCCATGTGTTTGGATTTTAAGAATACACTTGTTTTCAACCTTATATAGAAGAGAGCTTTATTCTTTGATGTTTCTCGTTGTTCTTTGCTCTCAACATTTAACCTACCATGACTCGATTTAATGAACCATAGGTTACTGCTAGACTCGACAAAATCATTATCCCAAGAAGTACCATAAATTTAACTTTATATTTAAGTCGGTACAAATAAGCCTTGTCCAAAACCGGGATACTCCTAAGATCCCGAACTGACTTTTTAAAATTCATTCAACGGATATTCGCAACACATCCGTGTACATCAGATTTATACGGTTAAACACTAATAAGCAATCTAGAGGTAGTCGTCAAGCTGCAGCTTCTGCCAAAATAATCCTTAACAGATCGAATAGCTCCACTAGGAAATTCCAAAATGACAAAAACACCGATTCCCTTCTAGGGCTAAAGACAACACCAAAGCACCAAAAAAAGTCACCCTGATCAGCCAATATCATTTCCTTTTCTTTCCCTGCCAAAGATCATAGCTTTTGTTTAGTCACAAAAACACTGATGTAGAAGAAAAATTCAGAAAAAAGTTAAATGAGATAACCAACAAAAGAGAACCACGTACAGAGTTCACATAATCATCCATTAACAATTGCTTTCGCTTCTTCTGCATAGGTGGGCTCTCAGCAGCTTGTCTAGCTATGTCGCGTTTGGATGGAGTTGCATTCTATTAAGAAATGAAATTGAAAAAGGTCAAGGGCTAAAAGACCGCAGAGGCCAAGCATTGGGTTCCAGTGATGGTCCACAAGGCTCAGTTTATTTGAAGAGTAAGTGAGCATGTTTGGCTAAGCCTAAAAATTTAACTATCATTTTTTAAGTGACTTTTTTTCCAAACATGTTTGGGCAACTTCCTTTCAAGAAAAGAAAAAGTTAATTTAGATTGAAATTAACTTGCCACTGTAAAAATAAGTATATACATTTTCCAACTTTAACAAATAAAATTTAATCATATTAACAATTGTCTAAAATTTACAAGTAAACTTTTTAAGCTTTGCCAAGCATGCTATCATGAAAGATGATTGACAAACCTTGGCTAGTTTCTTGTCTTTACGAGCCTGTCTCTCCCTCTCATCATATTCTTGGTTTTCCCTCTCCACCAACCGAATCAGCGTATCACATCTCCTTGCAAGTTCTTGAGTTGTACGTGACTTCACAAACCAATCAAATCGAAACAAGGGTGATGTACGAAAGGCTGCCTTCAGCTCGTCCCAGTTACCATACCCTAGCTTGTGAACCATGCATATCTGCGGAAAGAAACAATGTATCCAGTAAAAGAGACCACAAGACATAATTGTGAGTGAGAATCCGAACGACAAATAATGACTTGAAGTAGCTTAAAATTATCGTTGTCTCACCATGAAACGATCACATTCTTCATTGTATAATTTCCCTTTGTTCTGACCATACTGAATCCTTAATTCAAGCCATGGATTCTTGTAGCGATCCAATTTCTTCCCAATTGCTTTCATGATCTCATCTCTCCGTGAGATTCTAGCCTCTCCTCTTTCAATATTCTTAATAATTCTATCATAATCTGGAAAGATCACATTTGCCCGGACAAAAATAGTATATTTAATATCAATTAGTGAGAGAGACCCTAAAAGTGACCAATAAAATTGGTTCTAGTTTCTTATTCAAAAAAACATAAGCACAAACAAAATTACATCTTACCATTCAATTCTTTGTATCTTTGCTTGAAAATACGTGCATATCTTTCAACTTCCTCCTCTGTTTTCCCTTCCATCTCTGATGCAATACTCCTAATATCATTTCGACCGTACTTTTCACAGGCCCTAATGAAAGTATTGAAATCTCTTCTGCTCCATGTAGAAAATCCCTACATGCACCAAAATTTATAGGGTAAATCAAAGACAGATTTCAAACTTCCACAGCACATATTAGGAAAAACTACTCACTTCTTCCAACAGTTGCTCCTTCTCTTCCTGCTCCTCTGCAGTCAATGGCTCTCCCGAATCTTGAGAAAATAGCACGTAATGATTATGTCCAATAGGAAAACATCAATCAATAAAATGAATCCTTGACGGAATGGGTTAACAAACCTTCAGGTTCCTCCACCTCTATTGTATCTTTAATTTGATTCCTCTGATTTGCTTGCTGAAATGATGAAAATGTAACAAAAGAACCTTACAATAGATGTAAAACACAAAAAGACAAAAAAAGAAAAAAAAGAAGCCCAAGATAATACCCACCATGAGGTAGCGCACTTCTTTCTCATACAGCTCACTAAGACGCTGATTATTAAAAAATTGAAAGTCATGCCTGACAAAGACAACATATTTTAAGATGCAGAAACAGTAACATGTATCAATTAAACAAGAAATCAAAAGATGCTTACAACTGAGGCATGCGGGGAATTCGAGGTTCTTTTGTCCTTGCAGGGCCACTTTGGCGCATTGTTTGCTTGAAGTATTCAGATTCTGAGTAACTACCGACATAATAAAATGTGTTACTGTCAGGACAACAAACACCTCCTTTATATATATAAACACAACGTTGGCAATTGAATTTACTTGCGCTTCCGTTCTCGTTTTGGTGGTTCAATCCAATTATCACCGGCAATTTTCTTGAAGTCTAGCTTGTTCTCATCCTTCATCAACCAAGAAATTTGAAAAATAACAAATTAGGAATTAGGAAGCTAGAGAAAAGAAATCGAAAAATAAGCCACATTAGACAACCGTAAGCAAAATTAATTAAATCCACCTTCTCATCATCGAAGTCATATAAATCAGAAGCTGCAGCAAACCCAATACACATTATTAGTTGCATAAACTAACAGCAGCAGATGAATCTAACAAAAATCAAATAAATTAATTAGTGAAGTCAATAAAAAAGAAGCATACTATCATCCATCTTAAATTTGATAGCATCTTCCGTAAATTTTTTCATCTTGGCATCCAGTTCGGCTGTTGCCTCTTCTCCCTTTGCAATAATCCTATCTATATCTTCATCTGTGATAGTGCTATCTTTGCAGCTGAAAACCATTTCAGCACCAAATCTGACCATTTGCAGTAGCTCATCCTTATTAACGGCTGCAAAACACACCAAATTAAAACACAATGCATACTTCTGAAACTAGTCGATGAGAAGGAGCAAGGGCTGAGGATAAGAAAGTCTTACTCTTTTGCTCTGCTAGTCGCCCTTGTTGGATAACCAAAGCATCCAGTGCAAGCTTTTTATAAGCCCTTTCAATGACTTTCTCCTCAATAGTATACTGGATGTGATTGATTTGAATAAAGCACATCAGTACATCATGCCTCCCGGAAGCCTGATTACAATACAATCATAACACTGAATCGAAACAAACCTCAGTGCAGAATCGGAACACTTGGACTTCCTTCTTCTGCCCAATTCTATGAGCACGGTCCTGAGCCTGCAGATCCACTTGAGGGTTCCTGCAATATAATGAAGCCAAAACTCAGGACATTTAGATATCAAATTATAGTCCTTAATGCATCAAACAGCAAATGCAGCAATTCATCACCAGTCACTGTCATAAAGAATGACAACATCTGCAGTAGCAAGGTTGATACCAAGACCTCCTGCTCTAGTTGACAATAGAAAGACAAATTTCTCGCTTCCTGGCTTGTTGAAGACTTCAATGGAAGCATCCCGATCTTCCCCACCAGTATTTCCATCAATTCGGCAATAAAGATATCCTCGGAGCATCAAGTAGTCTTCAAGAATATCCAGTAGCCGCGTCATCTATTTACAAAATCAAAATGAATTTGTCCATCAAACACAAGCCCAAAAATGAATAAAGAAACAAAGCCCATATCAGAAAACTCCAACAACAAACAACTCCAAAATATTTTCAACAATGTAAAGTACAATAAGACCGTGGAATTAAAAATTAGCTAAAAGTCATAGGTAAGGAGAAAAGAAATGAACCTGCGAGAATATCAAAACCCTGGAATCACGCTCCTTTAATTTTGGAAGCAATTTGTCAAGAAGAACCATTTTGCCTGCGGTTTAGTTCGCAAGATCGCAAAAACAAGAGATTTAGCAATCACCCATATAACTACAATCATCTCTAATGTTGATATAAACTAAAACCCATACCAGCATTTTCTATGAGATGTTCCCCAGTGGTATAAGGAGGCCCAGGTTCAGCACCTTGAAATAGATATGGATGGTTACAACATTTACGGAGCTGCATAGCTATATTCAGAAGGCGCTTCCGTTCTCCACCAGCATTTACAACCTCAAGATCTTTCTGCAGCAGAGCCCTGTAGTATTGCTTCTGCATCTGAGACATGCCTACTTTAAGAATTGTCTCTTTCTTGGGTGGCAAACCTTTCTCCACATCAGATTTCAACCTTCTCAGAAGGAAGGGTCTTAGGACCTTACATTGCAGACAGAATGAAACAAATTAAGGATGAGTAAACAAGTTGTTAAACAAGCACAATTAGAATATTTGGACATCTAACGGATTTACTGCAAGAATTTGGCATATGTTATGGACCTAGCAAACGCCAATTACTATGAAGAAGTGGAGATGGCGATTTTCAGCATATCGAACTACCATCGTGCCCAACCATTATGAAAGTTTCAACTTTTCCAGTTAATGAGGCCATCTCACTTTTACCAGGAGAGAGATGTATCTTTTAGGGAAGTAACTAAGGTTACCTTGTGAAGTTGCTGGACAACTTCCTGCTGGTCATTTTCCCCAGAGATTTGAAACCATTCATCGAAAGTTTCAGCTGAGCTAAAAATCTCTGGTAGTAAAAAGTTCAGGAGAGACCAGAGTTCATGAAGATTATTCTGCATAACAAAAATGTATCCGCAAATAATAAATACCAATTGCAAACAACTGAAACAAATAGTAAGCATCGAGCATACCCAAGTGCTCCTAAAAACAATAACTACCAAGAGAAAAGAACACTAAACGATTGATGTCTGCCTTGTTAAATCATGATGCGGCATGCTCAAGAAAAATGATAGATCACCATTAATAGCCCTTATGTAATACATAAAAAATTTATATAGCAAGACTAAGAGCATTACAGT